GGAGGAGGGAGTAGGGGTGGCAGTGGGAGCACGACATATTTGACATGCACAATCCGCGTCATACACACGTGAATGCACACAGACATAAACTAACTTCAGAGCAAGCGAAGGCGTTATAGTGGGTACAAGATTTGCACAACTCTTTATGACGACGTTAACAGTACGCACACAAAAATGATGCAGAAGTCTGAACTCCACGAGTAAGTGACCATTTACCGAGATATTTGAATCAATTGACAGATTCAGATTTTATGTTAGTGGGCGAAAAATAAAGCATTCGATAGGCTGGAGAATCTAATGCCGCCGAATGACCGGCGACGCGCTGCCGGACTTACATGATAGTTGTCGGTCGCAGGGGGGTCAAGAAGCCGACCAGTCAGCCCGGTATCGACGGCGATTCTCACATCGAACGATCACACACCGCGAATGACTGACAGTCCTCCAGCGTGAGTGAACGAATGCGTAGTGTCCCCGCGTCCGCGTCGCTGCTGCTTTTATAGGGAGCAGCGAAGCGCGTCGATTGGAATCGATCGGCCCACACGGCTCGGAGATAGGACAGCGTGTTACATGAAACTCGGTTCGAAAGAAAGTACGGCGTGTCACATCAGAAACAACCTTGGAAAAATTCCGTCCTCGGAATTTCGAAAAAATGTGATAACATCGATTTCGGTTCACAAGAAAGTACGGCGTGTCACATCAGAAACAACCTTGGAAAAATTCCGTCCTCGGAATTTCGGAGAAAATTGTGATAACATCGATTTCGGTTCACAAGAAAGTACGGCGTGTCACATCAGAAACAACCTTGGAAAAATTCCGTCCTCGGAATTTCGGAGAAAGGTGGTACCATCGATTCTGAGAAGCACGTCACACATGTATCATGGTCGTGATTCGTGAAGAAGTCACGAGAAAATGCCAAGATTCAGTTCAAGATTTTGGAAAATGCGGAACGATAATCAACAATCGAAGATAGCCATTTAACCCTCGCCCTGGCAGGGCATTTTTCATAACACGGCTTGGCAGGGGGGGGGGGTCGATGCGACCCCCCTCGCGATTGGCTCCTATGGCATCTAGAAACACCAAATTTGGTAGGTAGGTGGGCCCCCTGGAGTTCTCGCCCCTGTGCAAATTTGGTTGCTCTAGGTCAATATTTAGGGGGGTTTTTGGGGGGTATAAATGTAAAAATTTCGCTAAAAACAGGTCAAAAGTTTTTCGCTTATAACTTTCGATCTAATTAAGATAGAGCAAAAAGAAAAGCACCAGTGAACTCAGCACGTCAAGGCGCGTCGAATGATTTACTTTTTAGTTTGCTTAAGTGTACCTTAAGTTTTTCTTAAATTTTAAGTAAACTTAAATTAATAAATTAAGTTAAAGTTGACCAAATTGCATCATATCGCATGTCATTCGATTCGGCTGATCACCAGGAACACAATGATACCATTTTTGAAGCTCTAGCGTCATTATGTGCCAAGTTATTGGCAAAAACGTCATTTGACCTCAGTTGACCTCATTTGACCTGACCCATGGATAAGTACACCAAACAAAGAAGCACCAAGTGACCTGCTGTTAAGTACTGTGATTTCAAAGCACAAAAGTGATGGAACAAAGCGGATATCTCCAGTATTTTCCGATTTTAGTATTTTCCCATAGGCTTAACATTACGACCTAATGACCTCTAACTGACCTCAGGTCAGTGACCTCAAAAAACCCGAACTATATGTTATACAACTCGGTGAACTTAGCACATCCTGAAAGTTTGAAGGAAATCAGTGCAAAACTGTGAGTTGGACAGGTGCAAAAAGAAAATTGAAATTTGACCATGACCTTGTACCGGTTTTTCTGACCTGGTGACCTGACCCAAGGTCACCCGGACCTGAAATTTTTAGGTCATATGTAAAAAGGTTGCCCCATAGGCTGTGCCAAATTTGGCGGCGCTGCGCACCGCCATTTTTACGCTATCTTCGAAAAACCTTAGGGGGGGGGGTCGCATCGACCCCCCCTGCCAGGGCGAGGGTTAATTGGTTCATGGTATTGGCAGTCTAATGGCGTTTACTGCATGTCTGTATGTCTATTCTGTGATTTTATATGATTTTTTGAACATATGCCGTTTTTGGTCGAAAACTCAGAAATCATTACGTCACTAAAACCTCGATATCTCAACAATTTTCCGACCGATTTTTTTTTTAACTTTGTCAAAACAAACTTCAATCAGTTCCCTACAGGTACCCAAAATTTAGCGCGCCTGCGGCGCGCCGTTTTTATGCTATGGCCCAGCGAAAAAAGTGGGGGGGGGGTTAACGCCCCCCCAGGAACTCGCGGGTTAATGGAATAACCTTCTCTTCAAAATTCTAAAATTTGCCAAAAGTTACAAAAACACTTGAAAATATTTCGGAGACGTTCCTTCATCGGTTCAAGTGATAAACCAGATCACTTGAACAGAATTAATCCATTTTTAACTCCTTGCGATGCATAGTTGCTTTTACATGTTTCAAGGCATCGGATCTAACCTGACCATTTATGCACATCAAGGATCACAAAGCCACGACCCGAATGACGATTGTGAAGCTAGCTTACACTGATATTCGCATTTAATTAACATAATACCAATTACCTGCTTAGCTTCATATTTTTTACATGGCTCTATTGCATTTAAGTCAAACTATTATTTACCCTTAAATTTCCAGGTAACCAATGATACCGTCCTTAGTGTTATCTAATCCTTTATGGTAAAATGTCTTAGTTCTTTCTAGGAATGATTAGGGGTCGTATCCCTGGTGCTTATTTTCTTGAGATATACCATAAGGCAGCAGCTCTTCACTGATTCCTGTCAGTTTTTCAGCTATTTTCAATACAATTAGTTTTTTCGAAGCCCAATTACTTCTGGGAACAATTAAGATTTAAACGACAGCTGAACATGCAAAAAACAAAGCGTCCATACCAAATATAAATGCTAATCGACGTCGAATTTCATGTAGCACATCATACGTCTCTCATTATATAGCTGAGTCTACATATAAGGCACGCAACATGGCATAAAACGTGACCAATTAGAAAGACGACAACCAGTATCAAACAAACTTCAGCATGTAATCATCTCAATGCTCAAGGCCTTCATATGAACCTTACGAAACGCACACAAACCTAGCAGAATTGTACGTCTCAATTACATGCATTTACATACACACAACTATTCACTGGTGGGGGTAAATGAACTGCCAGCTGTTCGATTTTCCTCACGCTGTGGTGTAAACCAGTACAAATTGTCCGACCCATTTCTGCTTTTACGCAAGCGGAAGATTCGCACACCGAAATATTTGCGTGACCTTGTTCATTTGCCCTTCCCGGCTGCATTGTGATTATTTTTACGAGTATATATGTGCATTTGTTGTGCGACAATTAGGACAGTGGTTACAATTCAATTACATGTATTGATCTTTCCGTGACCTCATTAAGATGCCCATCCACTGCATGAACTGAATGTGGGGTACTCAAGGCATCCAGTCTGGCTGTGTGAAATTTCCTGATCTAAGCGTATGCTGACAGAGAAAAAAAAATGGGCTGAAGAAAGTTACGCTCCTGACCAAACTTAGAAAGAGTGATTATCTTGTCAGGCAGAGCAGAACTAAAGATTTTTACCCTGAAGTTTAAATAAGTGAAATTCAACTGAAGATGTAGGATGCGCGCTATGCATCAAAATCAATATCGATGCCATCTTTACCTCTTGTTATCTAACAATAGGGCGGGAAGTTGAGCAAATCGTAAGCTCAATCTGATGTGTAGCATACACATAAAAATACATTGATGCCTTGAAGCATGTCTGAGGAGTTGATAAATTTTCGGTGACTCCGACTACGACTCCGACTCCGGCTTTCGAAAACCAGCTCCTACTCCAACTCCCACTGCGGGCAAAACTGTGGACTCCCACAGATTCCGACTCCGACTCCGGCTCCGGCTCCGACTCCGGCTCCGCAGCCCTGCCTTGAATGCATCGCGCGCCGTTATTTACAGTATTTATAGTCACCGTGATTTACAGTTCCTGCCGAATGCAACATGAGATACCGTTGACCGTAAACCTACGAAAAACTGTTAGTTACCGGTCCAGGGCCTCGTTGCATAAAGCGAGTCCGTAACTTACGGCGGTTTTTGGTCTTGTATTGTAAGCGCAATGTAAAGCGATGACGATAGTTTGAATCGTTGAATTTATTTATCTTGCAAGCAAGAACAGAAGGGGGAAGGGGAAATCAATTTATCGCTTTACATGCACGTGCGATACAAGCCTAAAAAACGGCGTAAGTTACGGACTCGCTTTATGAAACGAGGCCCAGGACACGTTACAGGTGCCGCACATACTTCAGCAGCGTGTTGTCGGGACCTGTAATATTAATTTTTCGTAACATTTTTATCTGATAAGTGGCACGAGTCGCTCTTTCTGTCTAGTTTGTGACACGGTTGGTCGTTCGTTCGTTTTACCTGCCGGTGCAATATTACACCAGAACCACTAAAACTGGCCGCATCTGGTAAAATCCGGTTCACAGACGTGAAATTCGCCCACCCTTTCAGCTAAATACACCATGCGGGAGGCTGCATTGTCTTTCCTGGTGCACGAGTGTACAGCAGAACTGCCGGGAGCAGTGCCCTCTGCTACTATACTGCAAGTGAAACTCACTTCCCGTTCACCCATGCCGTAAGTGACACTCACTAAGGCGGGCTTGGTGATCGCCAGTTCACACCAGCTGTATCGGCTTATTAGGAGAAAAGTATCAGGTTGTAAGCGCACCTTGCACGCGTTATCATTGTTTGCCGGACAGAAAAACGCCTTTCTGGTGATTTTTTTGCTATTCGTTTGTAAAACAGACGCCGCGTGAGGAAAGATCCTGTTGATAACGTCAATGGAGTAAAGACAAATTGGTGTTCATGGAACTCTTTACATACATTGACGGGTTGAGTCAGCTAATAAGGGCAGTGGGCACCCAGTATATAAAGGAAGGCGGCTCGTAGGGACGGCGTTATCGGCTGGGGTTATCGGCACAGGACACTACTCGTGAAGCCTCCAGGTGAGTGCATTTTCAACTGCAAGACGCTGCAGAATGCTGTGACATAATCATTTGCCCAATATCATAGGCTTTGACTAAAATCATGCTATTCAATAATAGCGTACAATATGACCATGTATATTGTATAGTATATGTACACTACCTACATTATTAGCGAGAAACAGTATGATTGCCGCTTACTTTTCTCCAAGTATTACTTGAACCAAGTTGAAAGGTTGAGTTGTAAAAACGACCCCAATTGGCTATTGGCACCGACCACGCGACCAACATATTATCCTAGATTTAACGCTTAACACCCACATGTTCCTATCACTTCCAGACTTCAATAATGAAGATCGCCATCGTTCTCGCCTGCCTGCTGGTGGCCGTCGCTGCCAAGCCTCAGTTCCTTGGAAACAGTGGCTTTGGTCAACGTCAGTTCGGCGGTTCTTTTGGAGGCGGCCGGTTCCAGGACTTTGACGTAAGTTCGCCTAGTTTTGGAGCGGGTGATGGGTGATTGTTGAGGGATATGTCGTTTGTATGATTAGTACAATTATTAGTACAATTTGACGGTATCTCGTGCTGAACACTTGATCCGAGGCCAGGGGTGTAGATTAGAAGTCATTTTGCGCCATCCAGGTTACCTAGCTTTTGATAGAAGCTTAGTTTTTGCGTTAACAATTTATGAAGCAGCGTCAAATATGAAATATAGCAAAACATTAAAAGTAAGATATGCGTTTGCAGACTGTTGAAACCCCATCTCTTAAAATATTCCATTCTAATCACCCAATCGTTCGCTCTGCATGCAAAGTTCCGCATTTTCACCATCTATTTATTTTTCAGCGTCCTGACTTCGACAGCGGCTTCCAAGATTTCGACCGCTTTGACGGCGGCGACTTTGACCGATTCGGCGGTGGATTCGGCGGCGGTCGTTTCGGTAACCAGTTCGGTCGCCAGTCAGGATTCTTCTGATCAGCCAGCCGGCTGACTTCTTAGGTGGAACTGGAGTGATGTCAAGTGAACACCTCGCTGTGAAGCGTTTATATTCGTTCAGCATGACGTTATAGTCAACGTTACCGTCGCCCTGTTGTTATGCTAGGAAATATAGAGAATTATGCTAAGCTATATTTTGTTGTATAAGATACTATGAAAATGCTGTCCATTATGCAATACATGCACAGTTCAGATGGCTTGACTTTGAGACCAACTTCAACCAGTTCCGTGTCAGCAAAACCCATCAACACGACATCTTGACAGATCCTCAACACGAAGATGAGCTAAATGTGTAAGTACCTAAAACATTGCACACACGTTACCTAGCTAGTTATGTTTCGTAGACGAGCGCACCAGAGGCACTCAGCAGCTAGAAATGATTTTGTTGAACACCGTCCTTTAGCGTTAGTGGCTGCAGGGGGGGGGGGTTGGGAGAGCACCTCACCCTGATGTTTTCCGCGAAACTGTAAAAAAACGTGTTGCGTTTAGCACATGACTTTTGTTCTATAAATCTAATACGTATATAATGTGAAAATGGAGGTTGGATCTTGAACTCCGGCAGCTCCGGAGCTAACTTTTTGCGAGGGTTTCTTTTGCGATCTTGCATCAATGGGAACATGTTATTGTACAGCAAACATTTTGCCAGAGCTAAACTCAAGTAGCTAAAATAAGGGGCGGACTCGAAAAGTAATAAGACGGTTGTTTGGCGAGATTATCCGGATTAGCACAAAAAAACCTCAACACTGACACAACAATTAAAAAGTCAAATATGTTTTACAGCAAATCGAGAGCAGCGTTGGTAAATCTCAACCATCATCAAACAGCAGTTTACTGGCTCCAATGCACCGTGTCCCGTAGGCAGACAGGTATCCATAATACACGTTGTCCGATCCGAAACTGCAGCAAGATAACGAACTCATCACAATCAAACTTCGCTACCAGACCGTAATCATGACGCACATATCCTGCACATATCCTGCTGCATATGTTTTCTCTTCATTTCAGTCCTAGGAAACCTGACCGGATGCCCATATTAGAAAGTCAGACATTTGACGAGCGTGGTAACTAGAAAATACAACGAATTGACTCAACAATGCCGGAGTCTCGTGTCTAGTGGTAAGCGTCGTCCTATTGTATTCCTATTACGCCATGCTTTTTAAAAGAATGTATAGATCGTAGACGTCTTAAGTATGTATTAGGGGCATTGAGTGATAAAAATTGTTCCGTTAGGGAAACATGATGTGTCAACTTTCCGACAGTGCACGTGCACATTACCTAGAGCAGTGCCAGCTAAGGAAACGAGCAACGGGTGACTGGTATATTTGACATGCTATTTGCGACTGAAGTGTCCGGCAACTGTCAGTCTTCAAGAAATTTGTTGAAATTTGAAAACGTCGTCGTAGCATATAAAATTGGGAACACCACCAACACATTGTGGATGCGTTAGTTGAAATATTAATATGATGTGATGCTGTGGCAAAACAGACAAAATATCGTTGATAACTTAGTAGTACGTAATTTAGCTGGAAAAAAATATGACTGACCTGACTGTTGAAGACGGAGGCCGCTGGGCCTCCGCGCCACCCGCCGGCCGCTGCACGGGGGGGGGGGGGCTTATAGTTTCCCCCTTTACTTCTGCGACGATATCGTCGCAACGCAAAGAGATAGAGAAAGCAAAACTTTGCACACATCTCCCTGAATACCTAGTCAATATTGTGTCCAAATTTGGTGTCGATCCCACTTGAAATGACGTCAGAGTGACGTCAAAAGTCAAATACAGCAGGTGCTGTCTAGATCATTTACAGTTGAGTTTCATGTTCAGCGATATCAGGACAGAGACGGTCCATATCGGAAAACGACAAAACTTTATGACGTCACTGTGACGTCATCCTAAGTGCTACAACCACCAAATTTTCCTCAAACATTGCCTAGGTATTCACTATTCAGTTAAAGGTATACAAAGTTTCACGTTCGTAGCTCTCAGGTTGCAGAGATATTCCACAAAACGTAAAGGGGGGCAACTTTATGCCCCCCCCCCCCAGCGGCACGTGGGTTAACCTTTGAGAACTAACCAACAAATTGAATAGAATACTGTGTCCCTTACCTTCACGCTCCTTCGAACGCCGCTTGCTGTGTGTCGATAGTAGCCCAGGAGCCGATGATATAGACAGGAGTGCTCTGCACCCTCCCCCCCGGCGCCTTTTTTTCTTTTTTTCCCACAAATTTATTTACATAACTGACAATCACATAGCAGTACACACAGTACACAGAACCGGACACCTGTCGCACGTCCGGCCAGCGGACCGGTCCCAGGTAAAACCTCATGGCCGGTCACGGATGGGAACGGGCGGGGTGTAAATCTGGCGACAGCTCAGCGTCCGAACCTCGCCCGCCCTATATGTCCTGCTATTACGCTCGTTGTCCCTGTTCGTGAGATGTGTAGCTAATGAGACAAAGTTTTTGATGCACCTCTACCTTCTTCTTTTCTGTATCGGCCATGCCCACTCGCATTTTACCAAACTCTGCCCTTGTCATAAAATCACAGAATGAAAACATATCAGCTATTCCTATACCATGTTGTGCCACTTTTGTTCTGTAAATATAATATTTCCCTAGCAAAAACAGTCTCTGAATAGCAGCTGCAGCATCAGCCATATGAAATGTCTCATTTTCCTCGAATCCAACAATTATTGCACGTTTGCTTAGGACAACATTGTAATGCAATCGCTCCCTGACCCTGCTCACCATTGCTCTCCAAAGTCCAAACACATTGAACCTGTTCGCACTCAGCAAAAAGATGCAGAAGCGTCTCTCTATCTGCATTGCAGAATGTACACAATGGACTTTCTTCAGTGAATTTTGACACGAAAACGTTTGTCGTTAATATTTTGTGAACTAATCTATCCTGGAACCATCTAAGAGTAGTATTTTTAGTACAGCTCGCAAATCTGTTGTAAATGAGGTCCCATTCTAGCTGACACTGTAGATCGTTATTCCATTTTATTTGTGATTTTAAACCATCCCGTGTTTTAAAGTACTTATGCTGTCTTATAGTATATCCTACATCCTCCCTTACATCCTAAGAGAGTTGCCAACGCTGGCTGCATTTTAGGTCCAATGTCATGAGGTGGCAACTCCCCCGTATATGATGTCCTTATTACTCTAACAATGCCCGCGAATTCAAGCTGTTGGAGACGCAAGCCATAAGTGTTGTTTATTTCAGCAATATTCATAAACCTTCTTTCATCCGTCCAAATGTCACCTACATTGGTACAACCAGCTCTGTATAGACGGCCATTCCACATAACTTTGTGATTACGCTTGAAGAAGGAGGACAAAAACAAAGGTTGCGTCTTAACATTGGCGTCCTTAAGGCGTCCCCCCCCCCCCCCCCCCGGCGCCTTAAAGGCTATAGCGCAGAGCACCAGCCCGGCGCAGGTTGAAAAGTCAAAATAACAAAAATACTGCAGATGTGTCTTGGCAGATGTCGTCTTAGACTTTGGATACGTGCTAGACTTTTTGTGGTTAAAGTTAAAAGCAATATTCAACGAACCGAGAAACTAGGCCAGCGCTTTTGCGGTCTAAACCGGCTGCTTTTGGTCTTGCGCGAAAACATACGTCGCAACCTCTTTACAGAGTGAGTCATGTATCGCTACTCCGTTGCAGCAGGCCAGTGACCGGTATGAACCGGTTTTGACTGTGACGTAGCTCAGGTGGGGTGACTTAGTAAATCACGACTCAATGAACCCACACGCGTTGGTGTGGTGCAGGGATTTTACCGGCTGTAACCGGTATTAGTGGGTTAAAGGCTACAGGCGTAACCCGGAAGGTTTTCAGTATCACGTTAGCTACCATCGTGTATGCTTTTCAAAATGGAAACATTAATTCTTCGATATATTAGTATTGCAGCTCAGCACTATATTCTAATGGTCTAGAAAAAGGCCACTTAAATATGTTGCCCTTCCCATTGAGTTGATTTCAGAGAAACATGAACATCATGCAATTGGCTTATATAAACAAAGGCATCAGTAGTATCCTATACCCTGTGTGCGCACCCAAGCACCTGAGTGCAGTGTTTTGACCCACGGCGATGCCTGGCTTGTCTAACCCACAGCAGACACGGAGCTGAATACCTATATTAGTGGGCCCTTGGCCAAGAATTGATTACGAAATGGTGGGGTGGGGGCACTCCTGGCCATCTGTTAATGGATGGCGGACTATTTAGAAAAAAAAGAAGTGCATTTTACACACAAAACAATATAAGATCTCGGGCAAAAAGGCTCATTTGTTACGCGTCTGTTTGGTGCAACATTTTCATATTATACATATATGTATAATATGTACTATAGTACATACATTACAAAGCGATTGTTTGAAATTTAGAAGTTAGCACCAACTATCATTCTTGCTGAGAAACTAAGCTGCAATATGCATTTATTACCATGTCATTTACGATAAAAATTGCGCATTCCCACGCATAAACGCTCCCACATACCCGTGCTAGCTAGCTGAGAGGACAAAACATCCAGAATCCGTGTCATCACCCATCGCGTTGCAATGACAAGCTAACAATCACCAGTGATTTTTGCAGAGCAGTCAGACAGCTGGCCAGAAAACCAAACTGGTCTAACCGGCGACGGTTAGTTCACCTGCACCCAACTTTATAAATCCTGTTGTTTGGGTTTGGCAGCTCAGAGCACTGGATTAAGTTCAGCTGCAGAGAACGGCAATTATATGTATTTTTTTGCGCATTTCGGTCCATCTTCTCGTATTAACCCGCGCCCCAGTGGCGGTCTCGGCCAACTTCGTCCTAGTGAGGGGGGGGGGGGCATATGTTACCACCCACCTCTAACTCAAAAACTAAGAGGGCTAGAAAGACGCGGTAAAAAGCAGTCGATAGCTCTTAATACGTACGTTTGAAAGTATTTCGGTCATTTTTCACCTTAGAGCAATATTGGGGTCACCAGAGGTCATCAAATGTCAAAATTTGCCAATTGTCATTATATTTTTCAGAAAACATGCCGCTATCTCAGGAAGTATGGTAGCTAGAAAAACGCATGGAATAGCAATCGATAGCTTTTAAACTCTTCTTTTGAAAAGGTCATTATCAATATTGTCCTCAGGTCAACGGTTTAGCCTCCAGAGGGCAAAAACTCCAAAAATAGCTGTTTTTACGAAAAAGTGTTTTTCGGCAATAACTTTCGACTACAAAAAGCGACGAAATTTCTATTGCCAGAATCGTGTTCCCCTCACCGAGACGCGTCGAATGAACTATAATTTGACCTTGAAAGGTCAACTTAAAATTTGACCTCAGGTCCAGGTCATGACCTGACCGGAAAAGGTCATGTTGCATATCAGTCGATGCGTCTCAACAAGACAAACACAATGAGACCATCCCCAGCGTTCTATCTCTTTCCAATCGCGAGTTATTGGCAAAAAACTGTTTGTAGCCTCAAATGACCTCGGATGACCTTTCTAGAGGCTATCAGCAAAAATGACACCTTGGTCATCACGACTGGACTAAATCATTGTGATTCTGAAATATTTGGACTGTTCCTATGCGTACACACGGATCTAGAGGCATTTTCATTTTTCTCCATTGACTTGTAATGGAAAGGTCATGCCACTGACCTGACCTTAGGTCACGGATATAAAAAATCCGAGATATACAAATTGTAGGCTCCCATAACAGCATGCAATCCACCAAGTTTAAAACCTTTCTGACAAACACTGCAGGCTGGACATGATTGCAAACTTTTTTTAAGGCTTGGTCAGTTAACTTGACCTGGTGACCTGACCTGACATGACCTGGGGTCAAAAATTTCACACATTGTCCAAAATTGATGTACCAAAAGCTACCCCTAGTGGCGCGGCGCTACGCGCCGCGGTTTTTTATTCACACGCGAAAAACGCGGCAAGGTGGTAACATATGCCCCCCCACTGGGGCGAAGGTTAACTCTCCCGTCCCGGTCATCGTTTCGTTGACTCGTATGCGCCCTTGCCAGCACTGGTATCACAGCTAATGTTACCAAATGCCGTGGATAGAAAAGCACGACACTTTATAAGACTGGGCCCCTGAAGTCCCCAGTTGGTCAGCGTCGTCGGAGCCTCTAGCACAGGTCACTGCACTTCACACCACGAACGATCAGATCTCCCCTCTGTGACACTGGAAATCACGCCAGAGGTTTTGATAAAAGATCGTATAGTTCTATGTACTGAGGAAGAGCGAGTGAATGATTCAGAGCGAAGAGGGAGGCTACGCCATATGATAAACAGGTTGTTTGTGACTTAGAAAGCTGGCTGGAGATTTTCCATGCATGGGAAAGGATGTATGCTGGCTAAGCAATGGAATTCGTATTGGAAAATGCTAACCATATATTAGAGGCCGGACAGTTTTGTGATTTCCCATACCTGCTACATTGCATGATTAAATCGAGACATCCAGGCATTTCAATGGCACGTGCACTGTACCACACTTTTCAAAGTTTAATGCAGAGCTTTAAATAGTTGTGAGCTTTTTGGCAGGTATGGGAAACACCTTCCAGCCCTAAGGCCGGGAATTCAATGTCACCTCGCTTTTTTAGCGAAAAGCACCTCGGGCCTAACGGCCCTCGGAGTTTTCGCTAAAAAACCTCGGTGACATTTATTGAATCATCCCGGCCCCGGGCAGGAATATACTGCAACGAGATCGTACTCAAAACTCACACTCGTTTAAGGTTATATAATGCTGTTCGTTGTGGGTAACTTTCGAATTCCCATGGATGATAAGCGACGAGTTGAGCAACATCTACCGCAGTCCATTCGAAGTTGGCACCACGCAGCAAACTAAATGCGTAGATAAAAAAGAACGTCAATCGTCTTTGTAGCTGATGTCCGCTGACAAAGCATTACTTATTAAAACATTGACTTAGATCGAATGTGTTAAATAACTTATTTATTTGTTTAAGTTAAATAACATAGCGACCTTCAAATATGAGTGTTTCTTTGAACATAAGCTCAACTGTACGGCATAGTCAGCATGATTCTCCCTCGATAGAAGAAGTAGATGTAGCGTAAGATACAATAGAATAAAGATAGATGTAAGACACATTTGCTCTGCATTGATAATTCAAGAATCCGCCAGTGAGTTATCTAACCAGAGCACCCCCAAAAGCGACGCGTGACCTTACCAGCTAACGTGCAGCTTCATTATGCTGCTGCACCAGCATGCATAATCAGATGAAAATTGTTGCATCAGTAGCTGGTGGGAAGAACATGTGGATGGGCCAAGGCATATGCGCGTTGTACACTAAAAAAAACGTTTCCAGTCATGATTGTAAGAGTAGAAACGATAGGACGGCTCCAAACAGGAAACGGTTGCTCTCTGCAATGTGCTTGGCTGGTCTCTGGCTGTAAAGTGTCGCCCTTCAGAGTGCCCCAACCCAGACACCTAACAAAATACATTGCCGCTATGCACTATACCTTTCTAGGAACGACTCTGCTTGAGGAAAAGATAACAATAAGCGCTCGTGCAACGGCGGCGGATACGCGATTTTTTTGGAATCGCTAAGGCGGGGCCATACTGGCTGTCCGGCAAACCGACACGGCGCTGCCTATTTAAGGGGAAAGGGGCCATAGCAACGACATCATTCGGGTAGAGACAGTTTCGGGATCAAGACATCCACCATCTTCCAGGTTAGTATATTCAAACTTTGTTGAGCACAGACACTTGAGAAGTTGGCGAGTTTTTTCTTTCTTTCATAAGGAAACGTAATTCACCCATTGCTAAGACATATGCGGCACAATAAAACTAAATGTAAAACACTCATGAAAGCTGAGAAAATGATAAATGAGAAAAGATAAACAAGAAACATGAGTTGCTAAAAATGCTCCTAAAAGATGAATCGAATGATTTGTAATATGATGAATCATATGAACGTTAACATCACAATGATAAGGGTAGTTCACAATCGAGAAAGATATGCAAGATATTACAAATAATATTTCGAGTCAAATATGACGCGTTATTTGAGGAGCATTGCGATTTTTTTTAACAATTGTGTCCTAGATACACAACAAAATAAAGTTATCCAAAGTGCTTTTGGAGCAAGACGTGTCGAAAGACTTATGTTTGAAAATACTATTTTTCTCTTAGATTTTCATCGAACATTTTGAAACAAAGCATTAATCCTTTGTGACATGTTTTACACACCGGGTGCTATAAAATTACAATAATAATATAGTAAATATGAAAAATAAGTGCAAATAACGTTACGGTAAAAAGAATTAGGGATGTTGAAACGCACCCTCAAAATAACTGCAACAACTAAAAAATGTAGCAAATAGCTGGCACATCATCATAGATTATTCCTTGGCTAAAACATTTTTCTGTTATAATGAAAAAAGTCAGAACGAAAAATAATTTTGCTTCGGTAAATGGATATTGATTACAATGTTTCACTTTTTCGATGAATATGCTGCTTGCTGGATTACCTTCAATTAGTTTAGATTTTTAAACTGCCGCAGTTAAAAAAAAAGTTGGGCATTAGATAACTCACTCTGCATGTGTTCCAATCTCTACTAATGCAGAGCTGGAAGATAATCTGTCTGAAGGAATAAGAAAATGTGGTCGGGTTTATTGAAAGTTATATAAAGGCAAGTGCACCGACGGCGGTTGCACAGACTGTTCTTTCTAGTAAGTTCTACAGCAGCAAAACATGTTTTCTTGTGTAACACAGCACACTATGTGCATGCCTAACCGCCTTCCCTTCTCTCCAGCCATGAGGGCGGTGGTTCTTCTGTGTCTGGCGGTATGCGTCTGTGCCCGCCCCCAGTTCACGGGGACCGGGGGAGCCAGAGGCTCTGGTAATGCTCAGGCCACACAGGGCCAGAGTAGCTTCCCGTCCGGCAGCAGCGCCGTCCAGAGCAGCTCCGCGGCGGCCGAGGTGAGTAATTTTTCCTGTTTTCTTTTTTATATAAGAGTTTCCTTTCTCCTTTTCTTTTCATGTGTTCTTTTTCTTTTCTATTTTGCTTGTTTTATCTTTGCTTTCTTTATTTTATGCTATTATGTTTCTTTTTTTAATTTCCTGTTATCATTTTCTGTCTGTATTCCCCTTTTTATTTATCATTATTTTCTTTTATTCTATTTTTTCCAAGGACGTACCTACGAGCTTGTGCATTCCAGTTTGTTCCGGTCTGTACCTTTTTGTATACTGTACAGGGCTGCTCCAATAACGACAATAAAAGTGCACGAGGAAAAGTGGAGCGTGCGAGCCTTGTATGCTCCAGTTTATTCCAGTTTGTACCACCTTATATTGGAGGGGGTAGGTTGTTCAAGGGGGTCGAGGTGGGCCGTGGATTAAATCATAACACGAATTATCAGTCTTAGGTGGAATGCATCTAATGGAAATCATGAAAATAATAATGCGGTACGTTGCATTTTAGAGAAACAGCACCAAAGTCCTCCTGGAGCGATGAATAAACACCGCAGGGACAGACATAGTAAGTTCATGCTAACATGGACTCTCAAGGAAACCTCGCACAAGAAACTGACGACTTCACCGTTCCTTTCTCTGTCCAGGGTTCTGCCTTCGACGGCGCATCTTCATTCAACACCGGCAGCAGCAACGTCGGACAAAGTTCTGGACTCTTCGGAGACCAGCAGTTCGCCAACAACCAGGCCTCCAGCGACCAGTTCGGCGGTGGCGGATTTGGACAATTTAGCGGCGTTGATGGCGGGTTCGGCGCAAGCGGATTTGGCGGTGACGCCGGATTTGGTGGAAGCGGTTTCGAACAGAGCGCGGGGTCCGCACCTAGCGGCGGCAGCGGGTTTGGGCAGACTGGTGGGTCCGCACCTACCGGAGGTAGCGGCTTCGACGCTTCCGGAGCCGGAGGAGGCAGTCAGTTCGCAAACAATCAGGCTTCCAGCACCCAGTTTGGTTAGGCCATGGTTGAGCTGCTCGCAAGTACCTTGACGAATTGGCAATGACGCGAAATGTGACGGGGAAGTTGTAATAAAACGGCGCATTTTTTTGTGTGTGTGAAGTAGGCGTTCAAACAAATAAAAGTAAACTTTGAGGCCTGCAAGCCTCTTAACCCGCGCCCTGGTGGGGTCTGTTTATAACGCGACCTGGTGGGGGGGGGGGCTATTTTTTGCCCCCCTCGTATCTCCGAAACTACTGGACGGATCCGCAAAATTCAAACGGCGTTCGAAAGGCCTGTCAAATTTGTCGAAGGAAACCAAATTTCATTGACCTCGGGGTCACCGATGACGTCACAAGTCAGGTCAAAGATGAAATGTTTCACCGATCACGGGTCTTCTAGGGAATGCGCTATAACACCGAGGAAAACGCATTTTGTCGAGAATCAGCGGTAGGGCGTCAGTTGCCTAGTAGATATGTTGCTATTAGAGGTCACTAGCAATACCAGGTCAGGTCACAGGTCAGGTCACCAAGGGTCACAGGACAGGTCACATGAGCCCAACTTTACTAAGGTTGTGTGATACATGTTTTATGGCCAATTTTTCATTTCCAACTCAATGGTGTTGGTTATAAGACTATCAGGTACGGCTTAGGTCACTTTCTGGTGAAGTTCAGGTCAAGGTCAGGTCAAGGTCAGGCCAAAAAAGGTCAAATTTTAAAGTTGATATTTTTGCATAAATTGGGTATTGATTCGATGCAGCTCGTCACGGGGAGTCTAATGGTGGTCTTTGTTTTGCGCTATGGGGTCTAGAATTGCTAAAAATTGAGTTTGAAAATTTGACGTCATCAATTTTGAACAGTTTTTTTCGCTATAACTTCGCCAAAAAAGGAGGTATCAATCTCAAATTTGGTATGTGGATGGAAGGCGATAAGGACTATCACATATATTCCGGTTTTGCGAAATTCAAAAAACTTTTTGGATTTTTCGATTAGTATATCCAAAAAATCTATTTTTTGATTTTTGGGGGTCAAAATCCAAAAATTCCAAAAATCCGAGATAGCAGTTTTGTAGCCCTGTCCAATCTACAGCTTTTATGTCCTTATCATTTTTCTGTATTTGCAAAGCTATAGGCCTGACAGCTCTTCCCGCGAAACCCTTTTTTGGGTCGAAAACGGCAGAACATGACGTCACTCTGACGTCATTTTCGGCCAACCTATAATAGCCTTTGGAAAAATTTTTGGTCACAATGTGTAAAATTGATGTCCGGGAGGGTACTGAAAGTTTGGTGACGATCGGCGCAGCGGTTCTGGAGATATATCGAAAAGTCTGGAGGGGGGGCAAAAAATAGCCCCCCCCACCAGGGCGCGGGTTAAACATGTTTCTCTTACCTTCAGCAGAATGGTAGCAAAGCAATAGTGGCACTCGTTTATTTTGATGAGCTCACTGAAGACTGAGATGTTGTAAACTGTGGGGAGAGAGTCGTCCCAGTTTACAGTCATCCGATCGTGGTGATCGGGAAACGTGTTCCTTTCCGAGCACTCGTCAGCCACCAGGGCTCTTCATATCGCCCTCGCTTCCTCGTCTTCCGTCTTCCTCCAAAGCCTTGGTTTGATGAGTAGAAGAGTGTGTGTATTTACAAATTTCAGATTTTACTAATGTACAGCACACACGGACGTTAGACGGTATACTAAAACTACGCGCATGCGCTAGACGGTCTATCTAGTAACATGCGACATGCGCAGCGTGTGTGCGCGGATATACGAATATACATAAGCAATGGCGCACCGACACATGCGCAGCAGGTGTGCGCGGCTGTAGGGAACTCCTACACTACCCCCTCCCTAGACGGGTCGCGAACGTGACTCGTCGAGATCGCTGTGGGGATCGAACGTCGCGATCGGTGCGAGAGCGCAAGATAGATCGCGGCGGAGCTGGTTCCGGTGTTGCTGCTCTTGGATATGGGTGTTCTGCAGGCGGCGTGTCTTGCGGCAGCAGCTCCATGCTGTCCGACTGAGCAGCTGATGGTGGCACAGTCGCAGAGGCAGGAGACTGCTGCGCAGGTTGGTGTGGCGTCTCTTCCGGAGACGCAGGCTCGCAGTGGTCGATGTTGCTGGTTGGTGCGCTGGCGGCCACCGGCTGCTTGTTGGGTGGAGCTGGCGTCGGCGTCGGTCGCTTCGGTAGGTTGCCGCGAGGAGATGCGCTGAGTGAGGCGTCAGCGTCGATCCGTTGCTGTTTGGCAGTCTTCGTGTTCCGCACGAAGAGAAGTGTTGCGGCAGATGCTTTCGACCGGCTGCACGGAGGCTCGCAGCGGCGGGCCTTGTTACCGAAACGCTGGTGGTACCAGCAGACAGAGCTGTCTGGGTACGTCGGCGTCGGAGGGCGTGACGGGAGAGGCGTCTGACGGCTGCGATGTCGACCTTTGTTGCGGTGGGAGAAACTGCACGGCGCTTTGCAGCGACGCGCTCTGGCACCGAAGCGCTGGTGGTACCAGCAGATCTCGTAGGTTGACGGATGCGCTGGCTTTAGAGGGCGGTTTTCATGGCGTCGTTGATGCTGGCTTCGGCCAAGTTGCGATGCTGCGCCTTTGAGTCGACGCTGGGTGGCCTCCATTTGCTGTACTCGGACGATGAGGGTGGCGATGGTGGCTAGTAGGGCTGTGAGCCGACCTGCTGCCTCGGGTTCGGGTGCCGGCGAGCTGAAGCTGGTTGCGGGAGGAGCGGTGTGCAGCCGGGTGGCTTCGCTCGACTCCATGGTGTGGTCCACGAGTAGCCCGGATCACGTCGGGGTCACCAGTGTAAACTGTGGGGAGAGAGTCGTCCCAGTTTACAGTCATCCGATCGTGGTGATCGGGAAACGTGTTCCTTTCCGAGCACTCGTCAGCCACCAGGGCTCTTCATATCGCCCTCGCTTCCTCGTCTTCCGTCTTCCTCCAAAGCCTTGGTTTGATGAGTAGAAGAGTGTGTGTATTTACAAATTTCAGATTTTACTAATGTACAGCACACACGGACGTTAGACGGTATACTAAAACTACGCGCATGCGCTAGACGGTCTATCTAGTAACATGCGACATGCGCAGCGTGTGTGCGCGGATATACGAATATACATAAGCAATGGCGCACCGACACATGCGCAGCAGGTGTGCGCGGCTGTAGGGAACTCCTACAATGTGCCGGTTTCTTGTGCTGTTGGAGATGGTATGCAGTATGCACGGTGAAATGAATATCCCGTGGCATTGTACGATGTACAATGCCACGGGATACATTGTACATTGTACATACATACCATGATTCTGGGTAGAGGGACCGCTATCAGCGAAAGTAAGAGTGAGACCGGAGACGTGAGCATGACGCAACGTTTTGATCACTAATTAGTCAGTGTTCCGCAGGGTGGTATTTACTGCTTTGTTAGCTTGCTTAATTTTTAGCAATAGATACTTTGGTCTTCTCTTATTTGTTTTTTTTTCCTTTTCTCTCTCTCTCTCTCTCTTTTTTTTGTTCATTTACAGCTTATTTTTGTTCGAAGAAAGTTCCCATGGATTATTTTATGACGATAAATGTCCGTGTTCAGAGGCAGTTTAATTGGAGCATGAAAAGTGGACGGCGCGGACGCGTGGCGGAAGGGTACTTTAGATGGAACAAGTTCTCAATTTGATAAAAATCCGCTGCCAGTTCCCACCATCACCCGTAAGACCGTCACTGCCATGCTTGCAGTTTTCATACATAAGCCAGAAAGAGCCTGTTTCAGCAACAATTTTTAAGCGTTTGCGCGATGGAAACGCTGTTTTTTATCTACTATTATAAATCTTAAAAAGTCCGCCGCCGCCCACGCCGCCGCCGTCGGGGTTACTCCCAAAAAGGCTTATTAAGGCGCCGTCGATGGACGCAGGAGGGTGAAATTTTGACGACTCGTGGGTCACGTCATTCAACAGGTCGTATTAAATTTTGGGCACGATGCGGCCGGGGGTGCGCCCGTGGCGCGTGCTCATGTGCGCCATAGGGTTAGCATTAGAATCGGCAAAAACAGGCCATTGCTCGGGAACGGTAAGGGCTACGGGGGTGAAATTTTCGCTGTAAGTCGATCGCGTGCACTCATTTGTCGTATTAAATTCTTGAGGGGGTGGGTTCAGCGGTGTGCACGTGATGGGGCCGCGACCGGCGCCGAGCAGAGGGCACGTGCTTTAGGCTCAGTTGTTCGCTTAAAAACTGACTGGAAATAATCAGAGCCGGAAGGTCATTGACCTTTGACAACGAATACCGGCGCCGGGCACCCCTCGCCAAGGGGATTCGCCAGTAAATACGATAAATTTGTGTTTGCAATATCTCAGCCGTTTCTGGGCCGATTTAGCTGAAACTTGGATTGTCGGTGGCAGTGTAGGGTAGGGTAGGGTAAGGTAAAGTAGGGTAGGGTAGGGTAGGGTAGGGTAGGGTAGGGTAGGGTAGGGTAGTGTAAAGGTAGGATAGTGTAAAGGTAGGGTAGGGTAGGGTAGGGTAGTGTAGGAGTAGGGTAGGGTAGGGTAGGGTAAGTGTAGGGTAGGGTAGGGTAGGGTAGGGTAGGGGATTGTAGGGTAGGGTAGGGTAAGATAGGGTAGGGTAGGGGATTATAGGCTAGCGTAGGGTAGGGTAGGGGAAGGGTAGGGTAGGGCAGGGTAGGGTAGGGTAGGGTAGGGTAGGGTAGGGGTAGGGTAGGGTAGTGTAGGGGTAGGGTAGGGTAGTATAGGGTAGGGTAGGGTAGGGTAGGGTAGGGGATTGTAGGGTAGGGTAGGGTAGGGTAGGGTAGGGTAGGGTAGGGTAGGGTAGGGTAGGGTAGGGGATTGTAGTGTAGGGGTAGGGTAGGGTAGGGTAGGGTAGGGTAGTGTAAGGGTAGGGTAGGGTAGTGTAAGGGTAGGGTAGGGTAGGGTAGGGTAGGGTAGTGTAAAGGTAGGGTAGGGTAGGGAAGGGTAGGGTAGGGTAGTGTAGGAGTAGGGTAGGGTAGGGTAGGGTAGTGTAGGGGTAGGGTAGGGTAGGGTAGGGTAGGGGTAGGGTAAGGTAGGGTAGGGTAGGGTAGGGTAGGGTAGGGTAGGGTACTACCATACAAAACACTTGAACACCCCGCACCTATCACCAACCCCTA